CAGTGAGCATGAGTTTTCACAAGTTGCCATGAGCCACCGTGAGTGGCCATCCAATGGCCAACGAGCAACTGCCTCACCCAGGAAGAGCGCAATGATAATACCAACAGGGGCCAGTGAAGCGGCATCCTCCACAACTAAACTGAAGAACAAAAGGACAACAACTTGCCTGTTCCCCTCCCCTGATTCCCCAACGCTGTTCCCCTTCCCCAATTTCCCAATAAAATCTTTAAAAAAAAAGAAAACAACCCAACAGATTGAGTTTAAAAAATGTAGTTTTTTCAAAGAAGATGAGCAAACCAATGCTAGAGAGAGGAAGGTATATATAATAGTATCAAGTGAAATGGAGTTCAAGGCCAGAAGAACTACGTGAAGCACAGAAGGATGTGATCTAATGTTAAAGGTATAATGACTGCACAAAGAAGATATACCAAACAACAAAGCCATATTACATAGAGCAAAGCCTTCTAGAAATAAAGGAGAACATGATCAAAGCACAATCCTTGTAAGAAATTGAATCACCTGTTTATTTTAGAATATTTTAAGTCAAGTAGACAAGCAATAAACAAGAACAGGGTTTTTTAATAACCCAATTAACAAGTTCAATTATGTTTACAAATGTATTAAAAAGGTTTATATTATGAATATTATTTCTATATTATCTATCTCCTCTCCTATAAGAAAATATATTCTTCTCTTACGCCCGTTGAATATTTACCAGAAACTATCATGTAAATGCATCTGTCCACAAAATAATGATTATATTGTAAATTCTAAAGAGTAGATATTTTTTATGAACCAGACATCTGATCATAATCTACTAAAACTAGTAATCTATGACTTGCACTTTCTCTCCAACAGACCACCTGAATTTTCTAGTTTTGGGACCCTAAGGCTTTCTTGGTTAACAAACACATACGGAGAGGCCAGCCTTGTCTACAGATAGTCATCAGCCATGGGAAGAAACTAATTTGTTTAAGAGACACCATGAGCTAGGACCTCTTCCAAGTGCTTTACAAATAATACAAGAATTTACACCTTAACTAGGAAACAAGATCAGTAAGAAGCTTAAAAAAAAAATCAAACAAACAAAAAAAAACCATACTTCCCTCATAATTTTAAAACACAGATTTGAAAAATGAGATTTCATTTTTTGCCTATCAGATTGCAAATACAAATATAAATCATAATATTTACAGTGAGATATACAGGCAAGTATTATTCTCATCACCTTATAAATTGAATGACCATTCACAGAGACATTTTGATAACATGATTTTAAAAGTCCTCTAAATTTTGAGGTTTTTGATGAAGAAATTTCACTTCTGGCCAACCGAGTGGCTCTGTTGGTTAAGAGCTCACTCCAAGAGTGCGAGCTCTGAGCAACAGGGTTGCCAGTTCGATTCCTGGCCCGAGCTGAGCTGCCACATAGCTCAGCTAAAAATAAAAAATAAAATAAATAAAAATTTTAAAAAAGGAAGAAATTTCACTTCTGTAAATGAAAATAAGACTGTATTCAGATACTTACTATGTGAGTTTCATTTCAGCTCTTTGCAACAAGATGGAATCAAACTAAAGTGTCCTGAAATAGGAGATTAGTTAAATGATTTATGATGCACCTACACAGTGTGTTACCCTACAGTTTAGCAGTTAATAGCATAGATTCTGGCCACAGACTTCCTGGGTTTGAATCCCTGCTCTGCTTTTTAACACCTTTATGACTTCGGATCACTTAACTTCCCTTGGCTTAATTCTAGCACTTATAAAAATATGAATAATAATAGTACCCACCTTTGCTGGTTTGTTTTGTGGGAAAAGGTGAGTTAATATGTGTAAAACATTGCAAGTAGTGCCTACCACATAGCAAATTTTATCAGTGTTATATAGTTATTAAAAAGGGAGTATTCATATACTCATATTTTGCCAGATGAAAAAATATTTATAGCATATTAAGTGAAAAGATGGGTTTTAAGAGAGCAATGGGTATATGTATGACATGATCTCAATTTTTTTGTTATACTTTATATAGAGACATACATATCTGCCTATGAATTTATACAAGATTTCAAGGGTTCATTACCAAGGCTATTAATAGTATAAATCTGATGAGACTGAGGGTTTTATTTTCTTCTTCTTTTAAGTCTTTTTATTTTCTGATTTTTCTGAAATGAGCATGTTCTGCTTTTGAAATAAGGGGTAAGAAGTTATTTCTTAAAACAAATAGAAAGTCTTGCTCCCACTAGCTGTTGAGTTCTTGTCACTGGAAATTCAAGGGG